AGAGATGGCAGGAGACAAATCGCTTGATCGTTGTCTTCGGTCCACCCTCTCTGGGGCACCTGGTGCTGGCCACTGTCGGTAGACAGGATACTGGGCTAGATGGACCTTTGGTCTGACCCAGTACAGCCGTTCTTATGTTCTAACCAGCCCTCTGCACGGCCCAAATGGTGATGTGTTCCCCCCACCCTCTGCCCAGCCAGCCCTCAGTGCATTCCGGAGTGTGCCGCGTAGTGCTCTGGTGGTGACTAAAAGGACCTGGGGCTTCTGCTGCCACTGCTGCTGCAATAGTGGTGGCGGCAGCTAGGAGTCCCAGGCCCTTTTGAATCACCAGGCCCTGGGGCAGTTGCTTCTTTTCCTCCCCTCCACCACAGCACGCCTGGCTGGAGGTGTCTACTGTGTGTTGTGCAAGCAGTCCTGCTGTTTCTGCAGTCTCCCCAAGATCCAATTTTAGAGATTGACATCCCAGGAATCCTGCCTCTGTTGCCATTTTACTTTTGCCAGCATTCAGTTCTGGTTAGCCAGGTTTTAATTCACTGAGAAAACTCTTGTATCCTGACATTTGCGAAACAAGAGATAGTAAAAGAATGCTATGTACTTTCTGTTTGGAAAATGGGGGCTTCAGTTTCTTGTGTATGGAACTCCAGGCTGATTGGCTGATTTGCCTACTTACTGCAATCTGGCCAAATCCTGAGGAGGATCGAAGTGTTTGGGATCCCTTTTTAACGTCATTCATAAGGCAAGCATAAAGTGGAAAAGGTACCAGTAGACCTGTAAGTCTTGATGAGCCAAATTTCAAGATTCATCTCTGAAGAACTATTTTTGAACACAGATAAGGTAATTGTGCATCTCACTGGCAAATTTGAATAATAAGTGTTCAGAATGATAGGATCTCCCAGGAAAGATCTGTTTAGCCTTGTATGTTTTTGCACTATAGGGTTAACCTCAAGCAGATATTACAGAGGACATCCTTGAAGCGGAACTAGCCTATATCCTTGGGGGGGCCTGAGTTGTGTCGTGACCAGAGACCCATAAACATTCTTGGTGTGAATTACAATGACTAGGTGCATGTCTTGTGCTATTCTCAGGCACGCTACGTTCAGGCGAAGCTAAGCGTGCACGATCGCTCGCTGAAGGTAGCCACTGTGATTGAGAGCCTGGAGATGGAGATGGAGCTGCTATGTCTGACTGGAGTGGAAGATCAGCTGCAGGCAGATGTCAGACCTACTCTGGAGACCCTGAGAAATGCTGGCATTAAGGTTTGGCTAACCTAGAAATGGAATACAAAAACTTGGTCTAACTGACAGTGCAATTGATAATGGCCAGACACTTGGGGGAGGCCAGACACTCAGGGTAGACATGTGAAGTAAATGAGTCTCTCTAATAATAAACCCTGATAAAATTCTGATCTCCACTGAGAGTGACTCGTGCAGTAGGTGACCAGCAGTAGCATGTGAAATCCTTGTTCATGCAAAATTATTTTTTCACCAACCGTAGAATGAGACCCTAGCAACAAAGAAACTATGTATATTGCTGGGCCAAGAAACAGCCTTCTTATCTATTGTTTCCTCTGCTCTGTTAGTTAATGAAAGTGCAGAGGGACATACAAATGATGACCCTATATGCTCTGATTCAGTGATGATATCATTATCCCCTAACAGCTAAGCTAGTGTTTTTATACAGTCCTTTGACTATATAAAGAGCTAAGTGCTAAGTTAGTACTTAGCACTTACTAACTTAGTATTAACTGAGCACATTAAAATGTCTCCCCATCGCCCCAAACTTTTTAATATACAAAGAAACCAAGTATGCAGCCAGAACCAAAATAGAATCTATGTAAGTTACGTTTAAAGAGTCAGCTGAAGTAGTCTTGGCTGCATGAAACACGCAGTTAAAGGAGAGCTAGTGTTATCTCCTCTCTCCTCTGACACTCAGAATATAATGTGTAAGTTTTTGAGTATTGAGGTGGAAGCACACAAGTATGAATTTTTTTGATATAAAGCCACCAGATATAAAGCCACCAGAGGGAGTATGAACCAAAAAGAATAATGCACAAGAGTTTTTTAAAAGTCCTTTTTGGCTTGATAGATCAAAATAACTTTTATACCTACGGAATTAACCCTATGTACATGGGTAAAGCCAGGGATGATTATGGTTTGACTCTGGTTTCCCCCAATATTTTGTCATTCAGATTCTAAGTTTGGGTGGTTTTGGAACTACAGGTTGAACTTCTGTGGTCCAGCAACATCTATGGTCTAGCAGGACCATGAATGTTGCTGAACAAGAGAGCCCCTGGATTAGTGTCTCCCAGGAGCCCGGTGGCATGGAGCCTAGCAGCTGGTGCTGGCCAGGGAGCCAGGACCCCACGCGCTAGCTGTGGAGACCAGTGGTAGCAGCCCAGCAGCACTGACCGCAGAGCCTGCCAGGGTCTACTGAGAGGCCCTAAGAGAGCCCTGAGTCTGTCAACAAAGAGGCCAGAATTGACCTCTCCTGATCTGGCAAACTCCCTCCTTGGGGACCGGTGAGGGAGGTTCCCACCTGTAGTACCCAGAGGTGGGGGTGGAGAGTTAGATAAAAGGTTACCATTTTGATTGCTCTGTTTCAAATAGAAAATAGACACAACTATGCATTGCAATGCAGAGTCAAACCTAGACTGTTTCAGATCCAGTCCTCCATTTGTCTGAACTCCTGAAGCTGTTTGGGGTTTTTTTTTGGGGGGGGGGAGGGAAAGAAAGGGTAAGGAAAGGGGTTCTCAATAAATGGTTTGGGTTTGGTGCCATCTCTAATATTAACATACCTTTGCACATATCACTGAGTAGGTCAAACAAACAATACAGTTCCCGTAGTTTCCATAGTTAAATCTTGACTATTTGTTCCAAAAATGTTTGGTTTTGTTTTTAACTTGGCTAAAGTCACTGGCTGGATGCTGAAAGGATAGCCCTGTTAGTGACAATATACATATTGCTGCAATTTACAGTAGATGTTCTCCTGTTGGTTTTCTTTAGGATTCTGCCTGTCAATGGAGTATGAAGACTGAGGGCAGTTTTCTAATTCGTTGTGGAGCTATTTGTTTTTTTTCTTTATTATGCTGTCTTGTTAATGACAATAGGAGTCCTTTCTAGACTTAGCTTATTAAACTGCTTTTAGTGAATGAAACAAACAAGTGGATCTTCATTTGATCTGTTCCAACTGGGAAATGCCTGGGGAATTTAATTTACCCATTAAAAAGAGCTGAAACCCAAAATATTTACACTTTTGAGGAAAATCCCTGCCAGATTATAGCAAATATTGGTCAACACTGCTGGTCACAGAGCTTTCTCATGTCCACTGTGAATGACTGAATTGTTTCCACATACACTGTCTTCAGTTTCATTTTATTAGGGCAATGTAATCTCTCCATACAAGGAGAGATTAAAAAGACTGGGGCTGTTTAAACCTGGAAAAGAGACAGCTAATAGGGAATGACAGAGGCTTATAAAATCCTGGTGTGGAGAAATTTAATAGGGGAAGTGTTTATTTTTTTACTTCGCACAATGAAGTTAATAGGCAGCAGGTCTCAGACAATATAAGGAAGCGCTTCTTCACACAACTCCTGGTCAGCCAATGAAACCCATTGCCCGGGGATGTTGGGATGGCTAGGAGTATAAAAAGAACTCCATGAGTTTATGGAAGATAGCTCTGTCAATAGCTATTGGCCAAGATGGTCAAGGATGCAGCCCTCTGCTCTAGGTGTCTCTAAACCTCTACCTGTCCGAAGTTGGGACTGGACAACAGAGGACTGAACCACTTAAACTGCTCTGTTCTGTTCATATTCTCTGAAGCAGCTGATACTGGCTACTATTTGAAGACAGGATAGTGATGTATTTGGACTATTGGTATGACCCAATATGGTGATTTTTTTATGTTTAGTTTCTTTCACATACATGAGTGGTGAAATCACTGCAGTGGCATCATCTGTATTTCAGGCAAGCCAAGCAGGATCTATCTGCAGCTGAGACTAAAGATTTCTACATAAAACTTGGCTGCAAATGAGGATATGTTCAGAGGATCTCCCTTTTCAGTTACATTTTGTATTTTCAGTGGAGTCTTGAAATGGCAGGTAGAAAAATGTGCAAATTTCACAACCCACTGTGCAGTGAAGCATTTTTCAAACCCCTTAATCCCTTTGTGAGAAGAGGAATTCCCTGCTCTTTTTAATGGGACTCTGTTATAAGAGGAATTTGTTGAAGACCACATGTATTCTGTTGTAAACGTGGTCTATTTACATGCATGCAGAAGGATCAGAGCTCCTAGAAGTTCCTTTGTAAACATCGTGTATAGTTTTGTGCTAATTTTCCTGATATAAAAATATTTTGAATTTCAGGTGTGGATGCTGACAGGGGATAAGCTAGAAACAGCTACTTGTACAGCAAAGAATGCTCATTTGGTAACCAGGACCCAGGATATTCATATATTCAGACTGGTGAGCAGTGTATAGTTATTCCCTACAGGTGAAACTCACCCCTCTCTGGACTTGTTCAAGGGGTCAGAAGGGATAAAATACCCCAACCTGCAGGCAGGCTATAATGCATTGCTTCCAGAGTTCTCCTTCCAGCCTGTTGGCTCCTGCTTCTGCACCCCCAAGGATGGTTCCTGGCCAATGATTTAGCACAAGCAGGATACACACCAGCTGCCTTGCAGGTGGATTGCAGCTCAAGGCTTAGTGCCACCCCCCGCCCACCCCGCAGCAAGGCGCACATGCTACTGCTCTAACCACATGGTCCTCCCCCGCCATGAGGTTGTAGCATGAGCTCTGGCTTCCTGCTGCTAGGGGAAAGCCCTGAGCTTTGTGGGCTAGATCTGGTTTGTGGGGGGAACAAGCGGCTCCATGCACTGCCACCTCCCCTCCCCCCAGCTGGGAGAACAGCAGCAAGGAAACCGCTTACCTGGAGGCTTTTTCCGCTGCTCCCATTGGCCAGAATCATGGCCAGTAGGAGCAGCAGGAGGTGGTATCAGGGAGTGGCAGGGGGCACAGAGCCAGGTTAAGTACCCCCCCATCCTCTTCATGCCCAGATGCCATGCCCTGCCATCACTCTGACACACACCCTCCTGCCAACACCTCGCATGCACCGCCAGCCTGCTTCTGCACCCTTCTTCCTGGCCAGACCTCACACCCTAGCCCCCACCCTGCACCCAAACTCCTGCCAAACCCCCACTCTCAGACCACTCCAGCACCTACCTACCACCCACAGATTCCCCACTTCATCCCTTCCCTTATCCCTATCCTACTCCCTGGCAGCCTCCTCCTGCACATTGAATCTCCTGGGGTTAGGGATGGTGGTGCTCAGAATCTACTAATCCCAGGACATCAAAAGAGTTAATCTGGCCTGTGGGAAGCTCCGAACCTTGGTCTTCCCACCCCCCAATGAGGCTGGTGCGCAAGGGGAGTAAGGTGTCTCAATTGGGGGCCATATTAGTGAGGGATGGAGGGTTGCTGGGGTCGGGGGTCGCCTCTCACTTTTGTGTGGCCTCCAACTGATTTTTCCCTGGGTCAGTGGCCCCGAACCAAAAAATGTTCCCCTCTCCTGCCATAAATAAAAACAATGTTGAAACCTTTTGGTTTTGACATAAATTAATTTTTTACTTGATTTAAAACTAAGTTTGGGAAACTAACATGAAAAAGCGCTTAATCTGTTTAATTATTTTGATTTTTATTAATATTTCCTTTCTTACTGCTTATATATATCTGTATATTAACGTTTTTATACTCCAGTAGCCTAATATGAATAATGTAGTATTTAAGATACAAGCAAAAATATCTAGTCATCATAGGTAGGTGGGTGGTGGCCTACGGAAAGGTTTGCGTTGAGCAGGGTGGGCTATGGGTCAAAAAGTTTGGGAACCACTTTGATTGATAACTTCAAGTCCTATAAGCAGAGGTAATAGTGAAATTGGGCAGGTCACTGATGATAATTGAGATTAACAATGTTTGAGATTCCAGAAGGACAATGTTTGAGATTCTAGGAGGACAGTGTTCTCATGGTTCCAAATATTCCTGAGTTAATGGCACCTCTTAGTCCATTTCCAGGCTGTTGCATCACTGTAATCCTTAAACCAGCACACATATTGAACCATTTAGTTCAGCACGCATGAGCAAAAGGCCTGTGCTGCTAAATTCTGCAGATACCAATAAGAAACCCGGAATTGGTTTTTGAAAGGCTCGGGAAAAAAGTATAATGATGTGTATTTCGTAAGAAGTCTGGTGAATTTCTGTTCTTTCTAATACAGTTTTAGACCAAAATCTTCAAAATTCTTGGGCATATTCAAACCGCACTCCTTGACAAAGGCAGGAGAGTTGAGGTTTGCTTGTGCAAAGAGGGGATGTAAGCCCCAGTTTACATGCACACAAAGGAAATTGAGATGTGGAACTTAATTTCACCCTGTTTTTTGGTTCCTTTTCTAGTCAGAAGTATGTTTGATAACCTGATTGATTTGCCAAGGGGCTGGAATGAGGGTTCAGGATTGTATTAATTTATTTTGTGGTCACCAATCCCATACTTTCTCAGATGCTTTACTTATTTCCAGGTTACTAACCGTGGAGAAGCTCATTTGGAGCTGAATGCGTTCCGTCGGAAACATGACTGTGCGCTTGTGATTTCGGGTGACTCCCTAGAGGTAAACTCCCAACTCTTATGGCAGCTTTGTAGACATCCCATGGGTATTATGTGTGTGATTTGATTTGGGGAAATATATGCAGTCAAATCATGTTTGAACTTTCCCTCTCCTGTGAAACAGGTGTGTCTGAAATATTATGAGTACGAGTTTATGGAGTTGGCTTGCCAGTGTCCAGCTGTGGTATGCTGCCGATGTGCCCCTACACAGAAGGCCCAGATCGTGCGCTTGCTCCAAGAAAGAACAGGCAAACTGACCTGCGCAGTAGGTGAGGAATTGAGGAGAAATGCTAAATTTGATGGTGTCTCTGTCAGGCTCAGGCTCATTTTTATATTCACTTGTCTTGGAACTAATTTTTGACCTGTTGAAGAGAAACAGATTCAATTCTTCCAAAATGGAGAAAACCATATAAGTTAGTAGGTAATTTTAAGGATTATTTTTTTATGAATATACAGTACACTATTTTCTTTTCCTGATTTAAGTGCTCACCAAAGGAAAAACAAGGGCCTTAATCCTTTTGCTTTTTATTGCATAAAGAAGTCAGAAAGATGATTTTTATTGTTACCTCAAGTGGCTCCTGGTCAGGAGAATTAAACCCCTCCTACCTCAGCCCTGACACCCCCAAAACCAGAGCCCCCTTATACACACCCAAGCTCTTATCCTTAGCTCCACCCCGGAGCTGACCCTCTAGTCAAATTATGTTGGGTCGCGAGCATCAACGATTTTCTTCAACTGGGTGATGAGGGGAAAAGTTTGAAAACCAGTGCTTTAGGGCATAAACCAGCCACTAACGGCTCAAGTTAGGAAGAACTTTCCCTTATTATTATGTAGTTGGAAGACTAATGTGACCTGGTATGGCAACTCTTCTGTTTTTGAACCAAGCAGTCTTCTTTCATTTCATGATGGAAGTGGAAATATGTTGTGACACCTTGTGACATCAGTGGTAACAAGAAATAACAAATAAAACGAAAGTGTTCTTTGTGGAATAACTTATAAACTGAAACTGCATATGCAGGGTACGTAAGAAGTCGGGGTAGGGGAAAGAGAAAAACATCTTTTTGCAAAACTCAACATTTGTGAAGAGTTCTTATTTCATCTGGAAAGTATATACATTGTAAAGCTGTGTGATAATACCTTTTTAGGACCAATAAAAGATAGAACTTCATTGACCTTTCTTTCTCTCTCTCGTTTCCTGGGATGAACGTGGTTGCAACAACATTCATTCTGAAGCTCCAATTCTGAGTCAAGCTACTAACTTTACTTCAGTATTCTGGGTGAAATTTTTGTAGCCCGTGTGATATAGGAGATCAGATTAAATGAGTTAGTGGTCCATTCTGATCCTATGACTCTGTGAAAAATCATGCATGTCGTTTGAACACCCAATTCTTATTTAAAAGGTAGAGCATCAATTCCTCCTACCTTGCTTTGAACATCTCAAAATCTAATGGTTTTGTTCAAATTCCTCATGGGCAAATACCCTTTCTGGCTGTGAAGTTTATGAACGTATTAATTTGTGTATATTTAGTAGCTGTAATAAGTGACTCTGACCATATTCCCTGCCCTTTTTTCTGTGCTCTGACATGCAGGTGATGGAGGGAATGATGTCAGCATGATTCAAGAGGCTGACTGTGGCGTTGGAGTTGAAGGAAAGGTGAGATTATGAAGCACACATCATATCTGATACAACTTGACATAGAAAGGCAAAGGGTAGTTTCCAAGTGTCCCTTTTATTGATTTCTTATGAAGCTATGTCAGAGATAGAGAAACAGCCCTAAAAAAAAAAAAAAAGTTGTCAGGCCAAAAACACTGGTCCTTTGCAGGTTCAGATGAAAAATAGTTTAGTAAACTGGGCAATGGTTTAGCAAAATTCACATTGATATCTACTAGAGGATTCTACATAATCAGACCTGGCTAGTTCATTTTCACTTCATCACCATAAATAGATGCTCAGAACATCTGAGCTGAACCGGTTGTACAATGAATTCATTAGAAATATTTTGTATTAATCGGAAAAACAGTGATTATTGGATCAGGAGCCTGCCACGTACTGTACACAACTCCTACATATCTTGAAACCAAAGGAAGGCATTTGCAAACAGTATAAAGGCTGTGCATTAAATGAGCCAAAAAATAAAACCAAGGTTATGTTTGAAAGCAACCTTGTGAGACTAAAATGTTGTTACAACAAATTTGCTGGCCCAGTAAATGGTGGTATCCTGTTATCTTTCATCGCCACTGTAGTACACTTCTTATCCACACATTTTCATTCAAGTACTTGTGATACTGACAGTGGCTATATTCCATTAGCATATTGTAACGAATGGGATGTTAGTGTCTCATGAACATGTGTGCTATGAACTCTAATTTGCAGACCTTCCTTCTGGGTTTGACCCATGAAACCGAATAAGAGTTCAGATTTGTCTCTGTATGGTCTTTTTAATTCATTGCATAAGTGTTGGGGGGTGGGAGGTAATAGAGATCCTAAGATGATGTTTTTCTCATCCACTCCTGTTAAAACATGTGCTTGGGGGTGGGAGAGGTTGGTATTTTTACTGTCCATACTGTGTAGGCATGTATTAACATAAATGGTGTTTCTTAACCTTGTGTCATCTTGTGATCTCATGGTCTTTGATTTATTGACCTACATAGGAAGGAAAACAAGCATCCCTTGCAGCAGATTTCTCTATCACTCAGTTTAAACATCTGGGCCGGTTACTGATGGTGCATGGAAGGAACAGCTACAAAAGATCTGCCGCGCTCAGCCAGTTTGTGATCCACAGAAGCTTGTGTATCAGTACAATGCAGGTGAAAGGACTGTTCCATCTTGACTTTTAGAGTGAATGTGTGTGTGTGTGTGTTGGTTGAGGGGAGGAATGTGAAAAGTTCAAAAATCAAGCCTTTAATTTCTCATTTGACACCACCCCTGCCTCTCCCTGGAACTTCAGTGGAGTTGAAATTGAAAAGAGGCTCACTTTTTTGGCATGAGAAGATCTTGCCTCCATGTAAAGATGTTTCCATTTTTGGGCAGTCAATGATTTTGTTTTTCAAAATCTTATTTTAAATTTCTTTGGGGCACAAGACAGTTTGCATCAAGAACACGTGAGCTTTGAGATTTGACGTGTGTGAATGTGACAGTAGCCATTCCATGCAGATGTAATGAAATAGTGTATTTCTTCAGTACGAAATGGCTCCTAAAGCTGTTCTTCAGCAAGTTACTTAAGAGTATAAACTGTAAACACTAGAGACACCCCATTAGACTTGATGAAACATCTCGTGCTTAAAGTTAGAGACCTTGCCTAATCAGGGTCTGCTAAAAGTTCAGTCCTGGAGGGTACCGAGCACTTTAGGGAGGTGCTGACCTTGCTGAGAGTTGAAGCAAATATTTACCCACATTGAGTGATCAGTATCTTTCTAGATTAGGACTGGGCAAAATAAGGTCCCTGGGCCAGATGCAGCCTGCCAAGCCACTAGATCTGGCCCATGGCCCAGTGGGAGCCTTGACCAGGCTCCTTACTTACTCTGCCATGATATGTCACTCAGAGCAGCCAGCTGTGAAGGTCTGTGCATCTCTGAGCACTGCTGTAATTGAGGGGGGAGGAAAGGCTTCATGTGCTGTCTCACCCAGCACAATCCTGCAGCTCCCAGTCACCCCTGCCACTGGCCGCTCTGAGTGGCAGGCCAGAAGCCCGCCTGAGGGACCTGCTGGGCTGCTGGTCAGCAGTTGCCTAGGTAAGTGCCTCCTAGCCAGAGCCTGCCTTTGGCACCCCAGCCCTCCCTCCAATGATACACCCATGTCCCCTCCCAGACCCTGTAGCCCAATCCCCTGCCACAACCCCCTCCTGCCCTAAGTCACAACCCCTGCAACCTCCTCCTGCAGCCCTGCCCCAGGTCACAACTCCCTCCCAGATCCTGCACCTCCTCCTACACCCCCAATCCCTTGTTCCAGGCTCCCTTCTGTACCCAACCTCCATCCCAGACCTGCACCTCTTCCATTAATATCATGGAAGAGTGTAGTCCTTGGCCACTTTCCAAATTCTTGGAGTGTCTCCCTCTCCCTATAAAAATTATTACCCACCCCTGTCCTAGACAGAACTGAAAGGGCTTGACTACCATTGACTTCAGTGGGGAAAAGAATTGGATCCTTAATGACACAATATGTTTTATGTTCACAGAAATTCAGGTATTTTTCATCATGTTTGCACAGCTTCAGTATTGAACAAGCAAGACTGATGCAGATATGTCAGTTGATTAAAAACAATGGGTTATGTTAGATTGAGAGAATGTAAAGAAACTTATAAGTTCATGAGCAGAGATTTGTCTTCAGGTATGACTGCAAGATTCTAAGATTCTTGGATGATGACAGTGATTATTGTTTGGAAGTTTTTCTTTCAAGCCATAAAATTGCGAACTGATATCTCTCTCTTAAAGAAAAGCTTTTCAGTAAAATATGTTATCATTCCTGTTTTTGAGAATGCAAGTACAATCAAAAGTCCATGCTGGAGTGTGTCTCTTTTTCCTTTGCCTCCATCACTAAGTGTCAATATGTTTTGCATTGTCAAACATTCCTTCTAACTCCAGAGGGTTATCTGCACATAACTTAAACTCCTGTCTTTTAGGACATCTGTGGGGTCTTCAATGAAAACAGTGAGCTTTAGATGAAATACTTCCAACCTCTCTTTGTATGGGATTGCATAAAAGTTTACCAAAAGGGTTCAGTCCTCCACAGTTTGCTGTAAAACATTCATCTTCATTCAAATGTTGTTCAGGAGTCAAGGAAATGGATATTAGTCTCCTGTCTTCATTTCAAGAAGTTTGAGCCTACTGCAAATACTTTTTAGTTTGGATGAAGTATGTTTTATCAAGTATAACTTGCACTGCAGCTTTTAAAGCCTGAAAATCCTTTTCTTTTCTTTGCCAGGCTGTTTTTTCATCGGTATTTTACTTTGCATCAGTTCCTCTCTACCAGGGTTTCCTCATTATTGGGTAAGAGCAAAACTGTTCAGGAAAAAAATGTGAAAAACCTTGCAGAGTGAATAGATTCCTGTCTGAAAAGTGATACATGTGAAAGTTTGTCAAGGGTTTGTAAGTCTAGTATGTGTAGAAGTAATTGCTCAGTGGGGCTCTGTATTTATGCTCAGTGCAAATGCCACTTCAGAAATTTGAGAGTCTCATTCTTGTTTCAGCTCCTGGGTACTGTGGTAAAAGGCCAGCTTGTATAAACGGGCTCTAAATACTCTGGGTCTGACAAATACCCCTGATTCAGAAACTATGCCCATATCATAGTGCTTGTATAGAATACATTTGCTTGTGCTCTCTAATAAATGTAAAACGCAAACCCTCTGAATTGTGTTACATAGTGAAATCCAGCACTAAAATAGTTCCATTTCTAAAAGGAGTAGAAGCTCTAGATTTCTAAAAGAAATGGTTCTATTAATAAGGAATGGTTCTATTAATAAGTGTAAAATAGTAAATGTTACAATTTCTTACTCTGTTCCATTTGTGAGTTTATGATGTGATTTTAATTGAGATGCAGAGAGCAGCATTTAGTTTTGAAAACTCATGTATTCATTGTTATGGCTTAAACAATGTTGTGTGCTCCATTGATGACTCCCATTTTGTTCTGCTCAGGTACTCCACAATCTATACAATGTTTCCAGTGTTCTCTCTGGTCTTAGACAAGGATGTCAAATCTGAAGTTGCCATGTTGTATCCAGAGCTCTACAAAGATCTTCTTAAGGTCCAGTAGATCCTATTCTGTATCCCTGTCATATGTTTGCATATAATCTTTGACTTGATTTGGAAAAGACTTTCAGAGAGACAAACCAAACACAAAATATCCATAGACTTAGTACTTTATAATATGACTTCAAAACTACATTTGTCAAGAGGCAAAATTCTATTTATAATATTAACTTACTTTTATTTTCTCACAGCTTGTTGTGTTTAACAGCTGCTTATTATAACAGGCCAGAAAATAGAATTTCCATCATGTGGGAAATTCTGAATGTTTCAGATCTTGTTTTCTTCCAGATCAGAATGACATATCAAACTTTGGAGTGTTCCACAAAAAAGGAATATTCTGATTTTTGAAAATGACACCTCCACTACTTGCCCTCATTCTCTGTGTCCTCCCGCTCTCATCATGACTTCTCACTTCACTGGTGGTGGGTCCTGATGAGACAAAAATGGGATGGAGCAGAAACTGGCCCAGCATCATGCTAAAGCTGAGAGAAAGGGGGAACAGTGGCTAGGACCCAGCATCATGTGTGAGACAAAGTGACAGAAAGTCAGGGAGTAAAACCCACCCTCACCTTCTTTCTGCTGGAAAATGTTGCAGAAACTGATGTATTCCCACATAAGGGATAGATTTTTGTCAAATAAGCATTTTTCCAATTGAAAACTGTGATGTCAGAAAATTCTGGACTAGCTCATTTGCTTATGGTCTGTTGAAAAACAGTAGTCCAATGGTTTCTTACATGGTGACTTTCTTTAAAGATGACCTAAAAAGAGAACTAAAGATTATTTTTGTTCTGTTTTTGCTGCTTTATGATGCATACAAGAGATCTGAAAGAGTTTTCTTTGCATTAAAAAAAGGGAGAGATCCACTTTATTTTGACCTTAGAAATGTGAGGAATGCTAAGTCTTGCCATGCTTTTATTTTTCTAGAGAACTCTTTGAGTTATTTAGGAAGTGGACTAAGAACTTACTTAATTGAAGGAAAGGGTAAGCTGATTCTTCAGCAAAGACATCCTTTTCCCCTAAGTATTTCCATTAAACAAAGTCCAACAGAAGCAAAGTGAATGTTTTCTAATAGTCTGAATAAGTCACCTCCCATCTGCCTCTGGTTTCACTTTGTTGTGGTCTCTGAACTCATAAACCACTAATTCTCCTTAGCCACTCAAAACACTGTGACTAGGCCTATGTCAATTAGAAGGGTGGAGTTTTTTTCATTTTCACTTTTACCCATGCTTCCCCTAATGTGGATACGGTTATACTGGTAAAAAGTTACCCTATTCCAAAACATAATTTAATCCCATAAAGGAATAGCTATACTGATAGGAAGTGCTGTTTATACCAAAATAATTGTGCCAGTATTGCCAAATAACCAGGCCTTCTTTATGTAGCATGAAGCACCAAAAAATAAAAATCAATTTTTGCCCCTTTGCAGGTCACCTCTCAGCCATATATTTTTGATCTATGAATTAGAGTTGTTTATAATCTAGAATTTAGTTTTCAAAATTCATACCTGCTATTTTTCTTTTTCTTTATAGGGGCGACCATTGTCATATAAAACATTTTTAATATGGGTTTTGATAAGTATCTATCAAGGTAAGTAACTGCACCTTTTTTCTCATAGCATTCCCTTATCTGTCAGGAATTACATAGGTATTGGTCTGTTTTATCAAAAAACAATGTGTTGCTGGATTTTGGCATATTTCTTCCAATATATAGATAGAGTGGAAATAGCCATTTCTTGCATCAGAGCAATTAATGCAACCATTTTACTACTGCAAAAAATATCACTTGAAACTAAACGTGTAGCAAATGGCTTAAGAACAGTTTGACATATTGGATCATGATAGCAGACATCATGGGAGTCAGGAGATTTGGGTCTGTTTTAGGGATGCCAATGTTTAACTGGTTACCCGCCTACCATAGGCAGGGGGGCTGCTCCAGCCTCACATGGGAACTCGCCGCAGATCGGAGCTGCTCAGTCATCCAGAGCAGCCCCTTTGTGGTAGGCCCAGGACCTCGGTAGGCAAAGGCTGCTGCAGCATCTGGAGAAGCCTTTGACTGTGGTGGGCCTAGTTGCCCCGCAGGCATCTGGAGCAGCCCCTCTCTATATTGGGGGGGGGGGGCTGCTCAAGCTGGAACAGCACCCCCTCCCTTTAATCAGTTAACCAGTTATGCAGTATGTCTAACTAGTTAACCAATTATATGGGATTTTACATCCTTACCTTTTTTCCACTGTGGCCATTGATCTGCTTTGTGACATTGGGCAGATCTCCCCATCTTAACCTGCTTCAGTTAACCCAACTATAAAATGAAGTTCATGACACTTGCCTTTGTTTTTAAGTCTGTGGATGATACCACTTTATTATCTATTAGTCATAATCAGGGCTCGACAAACCGCGGTGAAATCCACTCACCAGCCCCGCACCGCACCGCACATGCGCCAGACCCACACTGCGCATGCGCGCACCGCTGGTGAACGGGGTGACCGGCTGAAATCTACTCACCACGGGCGAGTAGATGGGCGGATTTGTTGAGCCCTGGTCATAATAATCTTGGCTTATTCCCAGCCAAGGAAATGACCCTTCTGATAATGAAGGATCTTAAGAAAGTTCTAATTCATGAGATCAAAGTTGAGAACTTTATCTGGGCTTTTCGCTTCAAGTTGCTAAAAGCCATTAACAAAACTACTTGTGTTTGTTTCAAGAGTGGATGCACCTCTCGGTTTAGCTCCTAAGAAGTCGGCCTTTTGGTTTAAAAAAGAAAGAGAAACTCTTGTGCTATTAGCTCAGGAAGCATGCCACACATGCACATGTAGTGTTGAGGTGGTATAGTTAAAATGGCCATAAGATCCCATTCTTAAATGGGAAGTGGTGCCAGCAATATAAAACCTCTATTTGAATTTTATGAGATAAATCCTAATGATGCAGTAGGATGCCATGGCAGGAATAGTTGTCTTCTGTGGCTATATAAATGTGATGGCAGAGCCAAGATGTTTCTATAAAGTTCACAAGTGGTGGAAAGTCAAAGCCATACAGTGATGTGCTGGGGGAAAGTTCTTTCTCAGGTGAGGCCACTACCATGCTGCATTGTTTTGTTAAAGTGGCTTCACATGTGCTGTGCTAAATGACTAGAAAGCAGCAGTCTAAACAGTTGGACCAGTTTCTAGCAGTGGCCCAACACTGAACACTGGAAAGTTCAGAGCTGGATCTGAATTTTGTGGCTCAGGCTCTGGTCCCTTGTAGAATTTCCCCTCAGAAACTAGCTTGTGATGGCTATTGGTGCCAATTACTCAAGCTGTTGACATGAGTTATTTGTGCAGGTGGCTTGGCATGGATTTGTGTGAGCATTCCAGCCCAGATGGAATAGAGGCACAAAATAAGGCTTCCTTAATGCTGTTTTAATTTGTGCTAAACCTAACTGCAGGCACTTAGTGTCCCTATACCTTGTGCTCCATCTAGACTTGAGGGCAGCACAGTAGAAGTTACAAGTGTTTGGTACTTGTCTTTTCTTTTGAGTAGTGACTGCTTCTTTGTCTGGAAGGACAGATAGATTGTCATAATCTTTAAGCAATCTACAAAGTAGCTTTAATAATACACTTCATACTTCCACATCAGTAAATCTGACATGCCTCTATGAAACACTGACCACCTATGTAGTGTCTTTTACTCATTGCACCGAAGTTCTTTGTTATCTTAAGCCATGTCATAAATAACTGATTTATTGTCAGAGCAGCCATCATGCATGACCAAAAACGGCTGCCAGCTGTCTTAAGAGATGACCTGATGTTTCTGCTCTTTCAGGGCTGAGATTAATGTTTAGAACTTAGATGAAAGTTTATCGGTAAGATATCTTGCCTCTCTCCTTCTCTTCCCTCACAGGTAGTATCATTATGTATGGAGCTCTTTTGCTGTTTGAGTCTGAATTTGTCCACATTGTTGCCATTTCCTTCACATCCTTGATTCTTACGGAGCTGCTGATGGTGGCATTAACAATCCAGACATGGCATTGGCTCATGATAGTGGCAGAATTGCTTAGCCTTTCCTGCTACATAGCTTCTCTGGTCTTCTTACATGAGTTTATCGGTAAGGTTGAATATCTTCTACTAGAAGATTTACCTGGCTTTACTTGGTTCCTTTACTCAAATAAGTTTTTTTTTCTTCGTTTAAATCGTTGTTCTGGGGTGGGGCTGGGGGTGAAGGGTTCAGTATGCAGGCTGCACTGGGAAGAGAGGACAGTCCCAGCCCTCTCTCACCATAACAGCTTGGAGTCAGGTGAGAAACACCTGTTCATGGCTGCTGCAGTGAGCAGCGTGGGGAGGTGTGCATGTCCCCCAGCTGGGAGAGAGATACAGAAACAGACAAACTCTCTGAAATATATTAGCTATCCTTTTCTTCACTGCTGCCTCCTGCTGGCTCAGTGGGGTTATCGCTGTCCCAGTCTCCATCTCTGGCCCCTTACTGCTGCCCCTTGGTCATTTTACAGTATTAATGTTCCTCCTATCAGATCCTTCCCTGTCCATTTTATGAGAAATAATCAAATTCCAGGCACAGCCTGTTGTCCTAGCACAACCAAACCTTGACTTTGCTTTAAGTTATGATAAGGGGAAGCTGCATACCAAATTTGGTGGCCCTAGCACTTATCGTTTAGGAGGAGTTCTTGAACAAACAGACTCACGGATGGACAGACGGTTGCACATTTCTAAACTACATAGTAAGAAGATTTCTTTAGGTCTTTTCCAGTCAAATATTTGCATGCTTAATGAAAGGATAAGGGCATGAATGGGGCTCACAACTGCTGTTGAACTAACCTACTATAGGTTACCCCAGGGACCAGATCCATTAGCTTGAAGGTACAAGCAGACTCTCAGATTTCATTGTACAGTCCAGCTGCTACATATGGAATATAGACACACTGGTCCAATATATTACACATTGGCCTGGGAGTCTCATCCTGATCTTCGAGGCTTTGCAGCTGTTCATATCCCCACATAAGACACCCTTTGATTGGGTCATATGTGGGGATTGAACCTGAGATCTCTGAAACTAAAAGCATCACCTTTCTTGCTGGAGCAAAAAAAGTATGGCCATTATCTGGATGTAATAGCAAACTCACTAAAACTTGTCTAATTTTCTTTTTCATCTGGGCCTTTGTTTTTATATTTTCATTTGTCTAAACAGAAGAGACATCTCACATTCTATAATGGAATCCACATTTCTCTGGGAAGTTCGTCTGTTAAATATCAGGTCCCTGCAGCATATTTCAGTGTACCATCAGGAACCACAAGATGTCACTACTTCCCCCAGAAACCTGCTCCAGAATAAAACAGCCCTCTCATTTCCTCTATTCAAAGTCTCCATGTGCAATAAGGCTATCTCTTACACAAGGGTATTGTGGCTCATTTTTGAACCACACTTCAAATATATCCGTAATAGTTCCATGATTGTATAACGCAAATGGGTAAAAGGAGAAGCTACGTGGTATCTGAATGAACAGAGATCGTTTATATTCAGTGTTACTAGCGAGTTAAAAGGAAAAAAAAATCCTCCCAGTTAAAATCCTACTCCAGACTCTTTACAGGACACTAATGTAGTTCATTCTGTTGAGGGTGAAGGATTGCAATATTTCATACTGGATTGTATGTCTATAATTGCCCGTTTAGACAAAATGCCTTATTGAAATGAGATGAGCAGTGTGCTAGGGAGAAAGTATATCCTTCGTGAATGAGAGAGGAAGAGAGCAAGAGGTGGCTGAGCCAACTGAAATTGTACTTGGCTTAAAAATAAAACAAGGAGCAAAAATGCTGTTTTGTGTGTGAGGAGGAGGAGACTGTTAGGAAGCTTTACTGGGCTACATTTCCTTCCCTGAAGCTTTCACTTGAACCTCCCCACACAGTGCAATTCTGACTTGTCTACAGCCCATCTCCATGGCTTCTGTGCTCTTTCCTTTCAGATGTGTACTTCATTGCAACCTTGTCGTTCTTGTGGAAGGTCACAGTCATCACACTGGTGAGCTGCCTTCCCCTGTACGTCCTGAAGTACCTGAGAAGAAGGTTCTCCCCCCCAAGCTACTCAAAGCTCACGTCATAGACCTGCTCTGCTTACAGAACACAGACTAATTTTGCACACTGCCAAGAGACAAAAAATCATGTATTCGTCACTGTAAGACCTATGTCTGATAGTTGCGTAAGGATTATGCAGTAATCAATATTATGTGCTGCTTTAATGAAAAAGACTAAGAACTGCAGTAAATTAAAAACCTAACAACAGTAAATAGTCTTTTGGGGGGAGGGGGATATTTGATAGTTTGTCCCGTCTTTGTCACTTTGTTTTACTTAGTTGAGGTCAAATGCATGTAACTGCAATGAAAATTGGTTTCTCGGGTGAGATCAGAGTATCTGAAAGCTGCTAAATGGCCTTGAAGTTTGTGATACTTTTTTTTTTAAGTTTGTGTTCCTTGCATTGTGTTATATTTTTATACTGTTATTTATGATTTCAATTCAGGTAGAAATAGTCTTTGTGTGTCTTGGGAAGTCCCTTATAATAGATATTGTCAACAGCTGACTACTGGGTAGTGCCTTGCTGCTTTGATTGTAGGGTTCCAGTGTTAAATAGATCTATGCGTGATTGAAAACCTGACTGGTTGAGTTTTTCCTTCAATCAAAATGAAAGATTTGAATGTAGAAAATCTAGTGTGATTTCATGATTTCCAGCAGTTAATGCACATTGAGAAATATCATCCAAAAAGGGACGATTCCATTTTGTTTAGTTGTTGTGGTTTCTTGTTAAAAGGAGCTGATCATGTACAAATAACTAAACTATATAGTAATTTGATGGGAGCAAATTACCTAAATTCAAGCAAAGCCTTTTGGAAAGAAACTTGCAGCTGATCAGCCTTTGAAGGTGTTGACAGCAGGATAAGAGACTCATCCGATGCTGCAGACAATGTGGCAGACGTGTCTTGAATCCTTGGAGACTGAAAGGAAAGGTCACAGAGTTGCTACTCTTCACAGTTACATAAAATCTGTTTCCTGTTAGGATGAATTAATGAAGATGAGCTGCAAATAAGCCGAGGCAGTCATACACGCATCCATTCATGACACCATCTACAAAGAGAGGTAGTTTGAGACCACTGTGGAATTTGTAATATTTACAACTGGAATGAGCCACAGTGGACATAAGTTTGAGAGCACGCAGAAAATGAGCCGATGCAAAAGCTGGTAGTTTATTTAATGTGCAGCACAGGTAAGATTTCCATTTATTTTAAACTGCAAAATTCCCAGAGGGTGTGTTTGGTTTTCTGTTTGTTCTGTTAATTAAAAAAGCATTGACCTACATCATTTACAAAGCATTCCTTGCAGATGGAGACAAATATATGACTGGGAAGTTTAGGAACATTGTAATGAGCTGAAAGAGGCTTTCACAAGTCGCTTGGTCAAATGTGGCATAGTTTTAGTGACAATCACACATCTAATCACTTTTTCATCTGTGATTAATGAGTTATTTGGTCTCTTTACCTCCAGCTCCTAGTGAAACAGAATCCACATAAGAAAAACCACCATTGTAGCTTCAACTAAATGGCACCTTTATTGTCAGGGTCAGAATGGAAGCCAGCAATGCTTGATCCAAACACCCCTGAATTACCCTTGTGGTGTGGTGTTTTTAAATCGTGCTCATCAGGGGAGCAGCAGCCCCTTTCTGCCATGCTGTACACTATCACTTTGATGCCTTGCCAGCTTTTGTTTCCATTGCCACAGCTTTCACAAGCATTCAAATGATAAATAAAATTCTTTGGCTTACAAGCTTGCATGCAGAATTGGAGTAGCGTTTAAAATGAGATCTACAGTGGATGGTGACTCCGCACCTCATTGTTTTGGATTATTGGCTTCAGAAGTTGTCTCACCTGCGCTAAATCTAATTTCTCTGAAGAACATGCTGTATGACCTGGCAATCATGGGTGGATACATGTGGATCCAACAAAGACCAAGTAATGCAAGTGCCAAACACTTTAGCAATCTTGCAAGCACTGGGTGATTTCCATTCATTTTGTCATATAAAATGGCTGAGAAGTAGGAGGGAGAGATTTGTGCACATGCTCTGCAAAAGCCATTATGACCTGTCATTGTGTATTGAAGAATAACCCTCTGGAGAAACTAGAAGAGCATGAATTAAAGTAGGGATGTGAAGGTTTAACCAGTTAACTGGTAAACCTCACCCTTAATGGGTGAGACTTACCGGTTAAGTTTAGCCAGTGGGGGCTAGAACAGCTCCCTGCCTACTGCAGACAGAGGCTGCTCTGGCCAGGCTGGAGGAGCACCTACTCGTGGATAGGGGAGTGGGAGAATGGAGCGACCCCCCCCCCTTCTTGAATCAGGTAACCAGTTAAACAATATTTTTAACCTGTTATCCAATTAAAAGGGATTTTACACCCCTAAATTAAAGCAGTTTGTAAAATGTTCCCAGAGTGGGTGAGTCAAACGCTGCTGCATTTCCATTCTGCAGAACTTTGGTTGAATCTGTTGAAGTAGGTTGCTTTCCACCCTGTAGATCCGGGTTATTTGCATAAGTGGAAATCTTCCTGGATAACCCCCGCCACACACACACACACTCCTCCCTTTCTGACCGCTTGTTCCTCTTCAGAGCCATGTTGCCAGTGGCCCCTTTCCTCCAACAGGGCTTGAAGTTCATATTGGATTTCCTGATGGGAAGCCTACTGGGCTCAGAAGAGAGCATGCCATGCCCTCCACCTTGACATTCACTGGATTGACCGTGCTGTCACAGCACTGAATTGACCTGAAGGGGCTGCCACAAGCCTAGGGAAAAAAGGAGCCTGCACTGTTGGCTCATTTCACCCCTACTGTGTATCCTCCTTCTTGTTCCTTCTTATGCCATCATGGGAAATACCAGTCCTTACCATTCAGCAGTTGTGTGTGTGACCATTTTGTGGATGAATGCATGTTCTAGGCTGCAGTGCAAGATGGGAAATGTAGCCTCCAGCACTGCTGGCTACAATGGTCTCCTTTCTGCATACTTGATTTAGCGTCTTATGTTTCAAGGTCCATTAGCTCATTTAGAGGAATAAGAAGAGCAAGCACTTGTTAAGATTAAACAGTGGCTTTTCTTTTGTGCTTCATGGCTTTGATTTGTCTTTTCTCTGGTATCCCATAAAAGCAGAATACTCTGTGGTATCCTCTATAAACAACCCAGCAAGAAAGAAAAAAAAAATTAACTAGCTGCTCTATTAATGTTTACAATATATTTTTGAAAATTCACCTTCCCCCATTCCCTCAACTTTTCCCAGGAAAGTATTTCCACTCCTCTCTTTAATTACAGGTTTGTATCAGGGAAGGCTCAATTCTGTATTTTTCTAGGATTTGCTTCAGAGGAAAAGCCGTGTCAGAAAAAAGCTTTGTTATAGAAGAATTGGGTTGTCAGCTTTTTGTAAATGACACCTTTTAGCTAAAAAGATCTTTAACAAATCACTAGGATAACATTACAGTTATGAGACAGAGTCAGTCATGCATTTGTTGCTGGCTTCCCAGAGCACAGTTTTGATTTAGTAGATTTAAATGTAATAATCAAGTTCTGGCAATTTGTTGTGACTAACAAGTCAAGTCCATTGTCCTTTTGAAAGTACATGACTGTAGATATCTTTGTAATAACTCCTGCCCCTAATAGTTGTGTGTTAGTAGTTAAATGTCGATTAAGAATAACAGTGCCATGCTACTGTATGTAAATATTTGGAAAATATAAGTTAGCATTCACGGTCTCCTGGAGTCAATGCAGTTTACACTAAATGGACCATATTGGCAAAATAATAACTTATATTGCACCAAGAAGTGGGGGATTGCAATTTCAGTAATATTTATTGGCTCCATAACCTTAGGAAGGAACTCATATTATTAATGGTGGGATTATCATCTTTACCATTGTGTGTAAGAGATGTGACCTTGTTCCTTTACTGCTAGTTTCTTGTACCAGATTGTTATGTTAAACATTTCTCTTTAGGTGTCCATTTTTTTTAAAAGCAAAATCAAAATAAAAACCACTGCCATTTACAAACACCAGCGATGGGGGATGAGGGATTGTTTAGATATATATAGATAGATAGATAGATATATATAAAATCAAAATATAAAAGTTAAGCACTTTGTCTATAAACTTTTTCCCAATAAGTTTAAAAAAATGTCAGGCAAAGTTTAATTCAGATGTTTGTACTTGCAGCACAGAGTCATTAGATTCCGCACTGGAAATTTAAGTTATGGTACCTCTTTTCCTCTATTATACTTGAATTTTGTGCTTATTTGGAATAAAAGACCATTTTAAAAATGTATGTACATCTTGTTTAGCAACTTCTTTATATTTGTGAACTGTAGCAGTTTATCTAACTTCCATGTTATGGGGCTATTCCACAATTAATATTGCAGGAGACATCAGTATATGCTTCATCACTTGCTCTTGATTCCCATGTTTACTTTAGGAAGATCTCTGATCAGTGGTCTGTTTACCTTTGCAGTTAGTTACCATACTAGCCTCTTTTTCCTAAGTAGTTCATTCTTTGAATCACTGATGTAACTAACTAAAGATGTGCTGTCATGCTTTTTTTAATAGGAGGTAGATTTTATGTTTCTTGCGTTCTATTGCTTATACCCCCCTCCATAATCTTCCTCCCCTCCCCCAAGATCTTGTCCTACTTTTCTTAGCCATCTCTTTTCCTTTGTTTAGAATGGAGCTAAATTCATCATGCTGTTTGTAACAATTTGAACCTATACAGCATCTTCTTTCCCCAAAATTGTATTAGTTACAAACAGTGACATCATAGTCTCATCCCAACTGTGGGCACAATATGTTTAAGTGTGACATCTGCTGCAGAGACAGAATGAGCAGCACCAAACCCTTTATTTGTCTATGGTCTGCTGTAGTAATGTAACCATTAAATCTCATTGCATACTCATTTGTACCTCTCAGAGGGGTGGCCATGTTAGTCTGTAAGGGTACATCTACACTAGCACCCTAGTTCGAATGAAGGAGGCTAATGAGGGTGACTGAAATGGCTAATGAAGCGCGGGATTTAAATATCCTGCGCTTGATTAGCATATTCTCAGCCGGTCGCCATTTTGGAAACTGACTAGCTCAAAGTAACTGCCCACGTCTACATGCAGCAGAGAAGTGGGATTCCGAGATAAACCCCTTAGTTCGAATTAACAGTTACTCCTCATGGAGTACCCATACTGGAAAAACTTAAAAAACAACTAATGGTCCTGAAACACCTCAGAGACTAACAAAACATGTAGTTAGTATCAGGAGCTCTCGTGGTCACACACAACCCAAATCTTCTGAAGGAGTGGGATGTGCCCACAAAAGCTCCTGATACGGTCTACATTTTTCAATAAACCTGTTAGTGATTCCAATGGGAAATTGTTGCTGTTTTAGGAGTTTAGGCTGGAGTTTTCAAAGGCACCTAAGAGTAAGGTGCCTGACCCCCTGGGAATTCAAGCCTTGAGGCTGTGTGGTTTGAGGGTGGGGTTTGTTTGTTTTTTAAATGGTTTGGTGCAAAATACATCCCTAATTCCGATATGCACTTGTCAAAGCAGCCATCATGAGCTATTTCAGTGTTTCTCAACCAGTGGTATGAGTACCTTTAGTACTCCAACTGAAATTTGGAGAAAAATTAATTTGTTTTAAGTTTTACAGCGGTTTATTATTTTTGTACTTTTTACACCCAAAAATTGCATCGCCCGCCCGGCTATGATTGTTGTTTAAACAAATGTGTTGCAATGATAGAAAAAAATTTTTGTGTCTGAAAACTGTGGATACTGGGGGTACTTATGATTTTTTTTTTAAAGGAGTTCTTCTTGCCCACCCAGTCGCACATCTATAGCCCAACCAATGCTCACTGAAGTCTTTCTGTTGACTTCGATGTGTGATGGACCAGATCCTTAACTTGCATTAAGAATTCTCACCTTTAATCTGCATGAAATCCTGGGTTCTTCAACTTTGCCAAAATGGCCCATTATTGTTGCATAATAAAACTTGTGTGCTTCTACGCCTTTAAAAACCTGACTAATTGTATGGGGAAATGGATTCTGGTGTCAAAATTATATTTATTGAGATGGCGATGTTTTGTACCTGTCGTTTAGTTAAATGAGATGTACATACCTTTGATTCAAGAGAAAACTGAATGCAAATTATTTATTGTTCTGTGGAATTATATGTTGCAGACATGTAAAAGGGAACGATGTAAAAAAGGTGAAAAAATAAATTTTATGCAACTTCATGCTTTTATGTGTATACACTTTGCATGATGGGCTTGATCTTGTCCTGATCAGTCCATGATATTTGTACAGGGGATATAGTTATAAAGGATTTGATGTATTAAAGCCTTTGTCATTTGGATGCTGGGGAAATATGAAGCTGAGAAAAGATACATTTGTACTAATTTGTTTGCAATTATTTCATCATATCTTTATTATATTCAATAAGTTTTCTAGCTGATGTATTCAGCTTATAAAATTGAAAGGTATTCATGTTGAAAGTATGGGAGTTTATCCTCCATTCCTTTAAAAATGATTTGCTGGAAACAACAATGTAAAGAATTTAGCCACTTATATCCTAATTTAATTATCCCAGAAGAATAATGCTCAATAGCTTTATGACAGTTTGGTGGGTGTTAAAGTTATTCATCAAGATAACTGCTCATTGTAAATGTGTAGTTATCTTCTCTGTGGCATTTTTCTTACAGTCTTCGTATTGGTGTAACTGCAAGCAATCTGCTATAACTTGTCACAATTTTGTCCACTAGGTGGAACTTAAGTATTGAAACAGCCAACCTCAGTTTTGTGTTTTCTAGAACCAGTTAGTCCCAGAGTACCTAACTGTCCCGAGTCCTCCTATATTCAGCCTCAGATGGATTTCAACTTCACAAATTCTATCTCGTTTAGAAAGATTCTGGGTCTAATTCTGCTCTCATTTTAAACTAATGGAACTCCATTGTGTTAATCCTCATATTCACCATGAAGAGAATCAGGCCCTTTTTTGGAAAACAGATGATTGCATCATGTTCAGAAGTTCTTCTATATTGAATATATGATTATTTAGCTGCTAACTGACAGCTCCAAAAGCACCACAGCATATTTCAAATTGGAAAAAAAAATCCAGTTAGTTTTTATATGGACAATTTTTGAAAGAATAGCAAAATTGAAGCTATATTTAGATTTTTCCTGTGGTAGACTCTGATAATTAAGAATGAAATCAATAGTGTTCTATGGGAATGGTGCTATATAGATTTATTAGAAATATACTGAAGAACACAATAAAATATAAATAGAGAATGAAGTCTAATATTTGAGCCATTGTAAAATAATTCTGTAGTGGGGATCAAATTCTCTACAGGATAGCTTTAAAAATATGTGGAAAAATCACAGTCTTATTGAATCTAAGAGAAAACAAAGGGTGCATCTACAAAGCAGGGCTTAACTCGAAATAAGCTACACAAATTGAGCTACATCAATTGCGTAGCTTATTTCGAAATTGGGAGCATCTACGCAGCACTTACTTTGAAATAGAGCACTTCTCTTCCGACTTCCCTTGCTCCTTGTACAATGAGGGGTTACAGGAGTCAGAATAATAAGTCCTTCAGCTTAATAGTATTTTGCCACTATTTCGAAAAAACTGCCTGCTGTATAGATGCGGACCAAGTTATTTCAAAATAACGCTAATTATTTCAAAATAATGTTGCTGTGTAGATATACTCTGAGTCCAGAGTCATAACCTGTTTCATAATTAAAATATTTTCAGTGATACTAAAAGTTAAAGCGAATGTTGAATAAACAAATGTTGTGATGTTTGCACACATCAGAGTAAATCTGCAGGCTCTAGAAGTTACAGTAACAGACTTCACTCCCAACTGTTACCAATTTC